GTTAGTAACAGTCTTTGATCTATTTTGCAACTGAAAAACTACAAGCATTAAGAAAACTGTTGTTTCGATTGAAACCGATGGTCTAACCTAACACACAAAGACATTTTCACGGTTTGAATAAACTATTTGTGTACGCCATTTACGCGCTCTGTAGTATACATACCCAGAGCTATCTAACAATTTTTTTTCATGTATATCGTCACTTAGCAATCACATGATTTTACCATGCAATTTGGAATGAATAGGTAGTCGTAACCGCAAATTTCCCTTGTTTTCCAGGCTCCTGCAATTTTGTTATCTTTGAAAAATTGGATCAATATCAGAATCTGGGCAACTGATATTGATCTACTTTGGTTCAATACTGATATTGATCTGATCACGAAATGAACGATCAGTTCAGTTGCCGAGTTTACTATGTGCCATCTTCTTAACCCATAATAAAAATCCTTTAAACTATGTCTTCGATTTTCAAAAGCGGTTTTGCTCTCAAATTCTGAAAAAAATTAAATCGGGAAGTGAAATTGATACTGTAGAGAGTTATATGATTTAACGAAGAAACATTTTAAACTCGTGAATCGCGCGCATGCGCAAGAGCGAGTTGTAGATATGATGTGGAGAATGGCACTGGCTCGCTCGCTTGCTCGATTCCTGTAAACTTTTTTCCGATTTTAGGCTTTTCAGTGCATTTGATAGTTTTTGGCGAGCAAAAAACAAACGAAATGGATAAGAATAGTGGTGGGGTGAAAAAGAAGCCAATGATAATCTTAAAAGAGTTTTTTTTTTCGTTTTAGTTTCATGCGACTGGCAGGCATGCAAGGATTCACACCGAAATAACAGAACAACCTTCGTTTTTCATAAAATTGTAATTTACAATCCTTGAACTTGAAAAAAATCCGAAGATTCATTGAAAATATCACTTACCGCGAAGCGCTCGGAGTTTACAGATGTTCAAAAGCTTTTTCTGTTATGGCGTGAGATTGAGGACAAAATCGATCATTACGTTTCGTATCGTGTGTTTTTCCTGTGTGAAGCAACGGAAGACGCCGGCGATTGACGAAATTACAGGTTAACACGAAAATCAAATAACACTTAAACAAACAATCTTAGCTACTGGTTTTCAGTGAATTTTTAAAGAACAATTTTCTTTTAAGTTTCGAGACAGTTTGAAGATTCAAAATACATATTACGTATTATAATAAAGCTCGGATATAACACGTACTGTCATTGGTTGAAAGAGCGCGCTCTATGAGAGTATAGGGCATAGAACTGAGCTAAAGCTGTCACGCCATCTGCCAAATCGTACTATGTCCGACCTTTTCCGGGACTTCTTTCTAGCTTTTCTTTCGTTAATTGAAAGTGAAATTTCGGAACAAGCGAGCAAAGGTTTGCAAAAATGCCAGGCGCAGTAATTTACATTACTGTAACGTGAGCAGTGACAAAAATCCTCAAAGATAAAACAAGATAGACAGTGAGTTTTTTTAACGGTTTTCACGCTCAGTTAGATTGCGAGTTTACGTACGGTAATAAAAATCAAACACAGCTAACACTTGTATAATGATTTAAAGTTTCGATTTCAAACAGAGAAAAAACAGGAATGATGAAAAATATAACCTGGCATAACTGTTAAAATTCATACTAATCATGACGGTGTCAGAGCGACTTAAGGTCTATCGCGGCTAGCTAATCATGGCGATCTTCGGTCATCGCAATGGAGCAAGCCTCAGGAACTAAATCGACTACCCTTCGAGTGAAAAAATAAGAGCTTGCCCTGATTACCTTTCCGATGCGTTGAGTGGAAGGCCAGATCAGTCACTGCAACCGAGTTTTACGGCGCTGTCATTCCGAGCGATCTTCATTTCTTAGTGAATTCGGCTGTTGTTCATTCATAATACACTCGCCTTGAAAAGTTTGTTTTCTACTTGTCATGTGAAATAACTTGCATATTTTTGTGAGCCACGATTGGGCCGAATTTCACTGAACATTTCACTTTCAGATCCTGTATTAGAAACTAAAAAACTTCAGGCAAAAGTGTTAAATTCGACATACCGAGCTATTTTAGTTTGTAAACTATTGCAGAATATGAACTTTGATGGTTTGACATTTTTGATAGATTTAGTCTTGTACAGCCAATCAGATTATTTGAACCATTCTAACAGGGATTCTGATTGGCTTATTGTAGCGTGCTTTATGAGAGTATAGAGTATGCTGACGACACTGTTGTTCGATTTGGCAATAAGATTTGTTTTGAAAATTGAAAGTAATTCTTGGGGAATTTAACGGATTATTTATTATAAAACAAATAGAGAAGCCTTGACTGTGCTCTGTTCTGTTGTAAAGCACGCAGGAAGCGGCTAGAGCACGAAAGAAGTGTAGGGAGGAAACAAGAGACGTAGTCGAGTGTTTCTCCCCACTTCTTAACTCAAGACTTCTCTATTTGTTAACTAAAATGCGTAAGTTATACTCCACAAAATTTATAAATAGGCCTGAAATGAAATTCTATCTTGTTCTTGATTATACGTTGACTAGCACGTGACTTAAATCTACCCAGGCGGAGATCCAAAATGACGGTGGTAGTCTTGGTTTAGTTATATCACCCAAAACTCGTTCCCGTTTGTCTCATTTGATAAAGAAGGAATCGTTAATGTTTTCATTAAGACAGTATTGCCTTGATTTTCTAATATTTACAATGATAGAGAGTAAATTTCACTTTTCACCCACATTTACTTCCAACCTTTTCTTTTGAACCAGAAACAAAAATGATATACGTTTAAAACACGACATCATCCACCCTTGTCAAATGTAATAGCATGATCATTTCAATTGTAATGCCTTCTTATCCCAACGTTACTTTATTTCTTTGCGACATTAGCGAACACTGGACTACTGCTCGTACTCTAGATATGACAATCAACCACAAAATTCCCTAAACCAGATAACATTAGACATAATCCAAAAAATCATGTGTCAACTCACGAGTTTGCTCACAGAGCACTTTGATTCTAGATCATTGTCGCTATATGAGTTGCATGTTATTGCTCAGGATATTTATTTCTGCCTGGTGACCAGTTGCCAGCTAAAATATTCTCCCAATTCATTTATGAGAACGGTTAGTTCAATGGCTAAACGCGCACGAGCTTTATGAATCAGTTCTTGAATTGAACACAACGCACGTAGCGCGCTCTCTTGTCGTCAAACACTGTTTTTGGATCAACAGTCCGCGAACAAGTGTAGCAGACTTGGTATCTTGAAGTTAAAACTCACCTTTCTCTGGCTAAGCTTCAGATGAAAACTTTTCTAAGGGCACTGAAGATAGTTTTACTGACACGATGCCCTAACGCAGCGGGTGAGAAAGAGTTGACCTCAAATCTCATTGGCTGATCAGACTATACTTGGCAGGTAATTTAGTGTTAACAACTGGGTTGAAAACGTAAATTAGCCACCGTAAAGGGTAAAAAAGCTGACGTTTCGAGCGTTAGCCCTTCGTCAGAGCGATTAGAGCTAATCGCTCTGACGAAGGGCTAACGCTCGAAACGTCAGCTTTTTTACCCTTTACGGTGGCTAATTTACGTTTTCAACCCAGTTGTTAACAATAAATTACCTCCTATACTCTCCCACCGACGCAGCACCACAGTTTCTTTAGAAACTTACCCCTTTATTCAGACTATACTTATATTCAAATCAAAATCTTGGCCGCTCATCGCTTCGACCCATGTCTTTGTGGTCAGGCCCTGGGCCGATCGTGCAAAATTGCCGTAAGTACTAAAACAAGTAACGACCTAAAACCACCTAAAACCACCTACAACCACCTACAACCACCTACAACCATCCACAACCACCTCAAAAATTTCAACAACCACCTACAACCACCTCAAAAACATCTACAACCACTCGCAAACTATCTAAAACCATCTAAAACAAGGCAATCATTTTTTTTAGTCTACTATAAAGAGTTATAAATGAAAGAGCGTGTAATTTAAGTACACCAACACTCAGCCAAGATAAAAGTACAACTGATTTTGATAATCAAAGGCTGCTTGGAGCTACCTCGTGGTTTGTCTTAATCATTCGATTAAGTGGCGTCCTTTGTCTCTCTTTCAACTAAAAAGTGTCCCACCTGGGATGTGTTTTTGTTGAAAAGTACATCATCTTGATAAGCAGCCACTGGGTAAGCGTCTTGTTAAGACTTTTGAGAAAAAAAGTCTAAGCGTTTGATGTCTTTCCCCTTGAATGAGAAAGGGGAGGGTTTTTTTTTTTCCAAAGAGGAAAGGCTTGGTAGAAAATTGATGTTCCACACATGTGATTTGATACAGAGGAAATCTTGCTGGCACATTACTCATAGCAAAAGTTTTAGAAACAGAACAAGTCACAAGAAGTCTATTCAAAACTAAATTACGTTACCTTTGCATTTAGTGAAAGTCAAAAAAGCCAGATTATGCAAGCAGTTTCGAGCTATTTTTCTAAACCGATGTTAGAAATTATTGTGTAGAACAAAAACTGAAGCTTTCTTTTAACGGTCATATAAGAATATCAAGACATTTAGCAACTTTTTGGATTTCTGCCGAAGTTTTAGCAACTTTCTGGCAGGATTTTGGTTGTCCATCCTAAGACACGTGTGCGTGTAGTTTTTCCGTCAGACGAGGCGCACAAAAGATTGCGGTTTCACATGTTACCCTCAACACTCTAACATTACTATTCATATTCTCCATACTGCTTTCTTTACATTTCCTGTAAGTCGGACACGGAGAATTTGTTTGACAATCAGTACTTTCTTAAATTAATGATCATATCCTTTATTCTGATGATCTTTACATTTGATTCAAGGATGATACTGTATGGAGAAGTTAGAAGCCAGTCGCTCTTAGTGCATATAGGATTAAGAAAATGCTTTTTGTAGCTAAAGGAAATTGATGTTTCCAAGGTGGCTGAAAAATATTTTTTTCATTTTTCATACTGATCAAAAAGGTTATTAATTATGATATATCATCTTCTCTCTAAAAAAGGAATAAAAAAATATAATTTATTTGTCAAAGTGTACAACTTCATATAATCAGCATCAACAATTAATTTATCTCTAACAATTTACTTCAGTACTTGTCCTTAATCCAGCTGTTTCAACTGCTTAACTCCTAAAATCTGATTTTTCATTCTTCCCTTTAGCTGTTACTCATCTCCTTGTAAATTAGTTACCAGAATTTGGTGTTAAATTAAGATAACTTCTACCTGATAAGTTTGAGTATTGTCATTACCTGATTGCTGGGTGATGTATGGATATTATTGAGAGAAAATACATGTTCATCACATCTGAGAGTTAAAGGGTTAAGGTAAAAAGATGATAAAGATTGTGTACATATTGTTAAATTTGACAAATGGTACTTTGTAAGAAAATCTCCTGTAAAAAATTTATATCACAATACTTTAAAATGTCTGTTACAGTATTTAATTGGTTAAATGCCACCCTCATATGAACACTGCCCTCTAATAAATGCTGCATTTTAGAGCAGAAACATTAATAAAACGCCACCCTCAATTAATCACTGTATCATGATCAGGGCGTGAAATTAACTTTTTTTTCTGATAGCCACTTGGCTCCTAAATTCTTCAAAGTGGTAGCCAATTCAAAAAAAGTTGGTCGCCATTTTCAAAGACAAACAAAATCTTTCTTTACTCTGTCAGCGTTCTAGATAGACCCTCCAAAATTAAGTTAGGGAAAAGATCTTTAACGTGCTACAAAGTGGACACTAGGATGGATGATATACAACGTTCAGGCTCATCTAAATCCAAGATGGCGTCTAGTTATTGATCTAGATGCATGTGCTACGTTTTGGAAACAAACTTAACGAGGAAGTTTGCCGCGGATTTATCTTTGCAAATCTTTTTAATGCACTAGATCTCTTGGTAAGGTTATGATGACACGTTCTAGTCGCCAATTTGGCGACTAACTTTCAGGATTTGGTCGCCAAAGTGAAAAATTTAGTCGCATTGGCGCCTGTATTAGGCGCAATTTCACGCCCTGATGATGTGGTGTTTATTTGAATAATAGACTCAAAAAGCACACAGCGATCATTGATTAATTGCAGACAAATCCTCTATTCACTTTATGTATTGCAGCAGTATTAACATGGAAATATATGTGAAATTGACAACAATACAAAAAAATGACTTTTTAGAACAGCACCAAAACATGTTTCTGCTTTTTAAAATGAGAATGGTTAGTTACCATACCATTTTTGCGAGTAATAAATTGGATTTTAGATAAATGCCCCTTGTATAAACGCTGCACTTGAATCACAAAAAAATTGAATAAATGCTGTGACATTCAATTGAATAAATATGGTAACTGAAATAATTTATGTACTTTCACACCAGTACAACCTTAACTATTCAAACAATTTTCTTTATTGGATAATTAAATAAATCTTAAAGAATGGTTCTTTGTCATGAGTCTTCTACATAAAAATTCTAAATCAGTTTTAAATTATTTGGTTTGGGAATAATTCACATTCTCTCACACCAGTACATCTCAATCTTGTATGGAAGGATAACTTTATCTGTTTCTAGTTTGATATGTTTGTTTAAAATTGATTTAATTTTATCAATTTCCATTTTCTTTTCTTCATCACTTTTCACCGCTATGACACTAATCGATAAAAGCCTCCTTACAAATTCATCAAATGTCATGACCTGTTCATTCTTAAAACTTTCATCACCTTCTAGTGACCCAAATTTATCAGATGCCATTACCAGTCTCTTCCATTCACCACTTTGTGCTTTTGGTGTGTTGGACTGCTCATAGAGGGGAAGAATGACATCATTGTCCATTTCTTTTACCCAGGGTACAGAGTGATCACGTGCATTCCAAACCAGACCAAACTTGCCACCAGGAACAAGTACACGCTGAATTTCAGAAAGCGACTTTTCATTGGCGAACCAGTGGAAACTTTGTGCCGCTATCACTGCATGTACTGAACCGTGAGGCAAACCTGAAACATACAAAAAAAAAAAAAAAATTGATACTGAGAAAAATGTTCTCTCATCTTGTCACGAGTGTGGGACAAAGAAAAATTTTGAGTCCCCATCAGGAATCGAACCTCAGACCTTTGGATTTCATGCTCCAATGTTCTACCACTGAGCCACAGAGACTCTACAGTGAGGGAGGTCTATTACGAAGTGGATGATGGATGGTCTTTGATATTGTAGCCTTAAGACTGCAATAGATAAAACTGGAATGGATCACTGTGTTACGTTTTTGAAATGAAATGGTGAATAATGCTTCATGAGCTATTAAACAACCACCTTCCCTGGCCACTAGACATTGGGTTCTGAAATTTGTCAAAATCTTCCATTTAGCATGCAGAACACTAAGAGAAATTCCAGTTTGTTTTCACACTTGAATAATGTCTATTATAATTTTTATTATCGCTTAAGGTAGAGGTTTACATGAAAGCACATTAATGGTAGTCTACCACAGCTCAGAAGGCCTGGTTACTCTCTTCACCTGCTAAAGGCTGTGTTAACACATACATGTACAATATTTCTTTTCACGACCCTTTCAGAGTTGTAGTTTTGTTTACTGCAGTCAGCAAACACTTGTATGGGTAGACATACAGGTAAGAGTACTTCTGTTTCTCAAGGTTACTGCAAGCTACTTTTGTTTGGGTCCTTGGATTCATAAAAATGCAAAATGCTGAATGCATAGAAAAAGCAGAGGAAGCAGTGTTTTCATTTTTTTTTAGTTTCAACTCAAGTCTTCTGGTATGAAAAGGCTCTACGATTAAAGTATTTTTTAAAAGAATGAGTGATAATATCCTGGAGTCGAGTGTTTATACATTGTATAACAACCTCCGTAGAGTGCTCCACCACGCACTCCTGAGCTCTATTGCCAAAGCCAGCTGCCCCCCATCCCCACCCCCTAGGCCAATAAAAGTGTCCTCTACCATCCATCGTCGACAGACTCATTGCATCTGTTCTTTTAGCATAGATTAACTACAAAATCACAAGATATAATCCATACCAATATTTTCAGCAGAAAAATCTTTCATCTCTGTGGCTGGAAATTTTTGTTTAAACTCTTCTCTCATAGAAAGAAGCGGCTCGCTTGCAATTATTTCCACATTACTGCCGCGAAGAACCTTGAGTAAAACATCAGTGAACTTCCCTGTTCCTGCTCCAAGCTCTAGGATTCTTACTAGCTGATTAGATGAAGCATCTTGGTGTGAAATGCCAAGTTTATCAATCAAGAACTTTACGGCCTCTTCTGAGTAAGCGGGCCTGACCTGATCATAAAGTTTCGATGTTTCAAACCCGCTCTTTGCAACATGATGGACAGTTCCTTGTGACATTGTGTAAGGACAGTATTTAGAAACGGAAAAATATTTCTTCTGAACAGAAGAACTTTTGAGCCAAGAGTAAATTCTGGTCAACGCACGTCGACGCAGAGTAATGCTAGGTACAAAACTGTTCACATGTAAGACTTGCGTCATATTCCGTTTACACCCGTTCGATCACCTGAGTTACACGAGCAAATTTGCGAGCAGGTTCTTTCAGCGGTTTCATTGACTTGCAAAAATTAGGTGGTGTAACGGAAAGATACGAGCAAACAAAATGGCTGACATGGCAATTTGGTAGAAACAATTTGGAAGAGGACTTAGCCCGCGAGGGTGATACGAGAGAGGTGTACATTTTATTGTACAGAATATTTTCTGAAATTGTTGATCTATATGGACAGAAATTCTATTTCTTCTCGTCAATTGCTGAGGACTTAAAAAATTTGTATGCGAATTTTCTTACATAATCTGAATGAAGCGTGTCGAAACTGTGTGAAAACTGGTGAATAATTCAAAAAAGGTTCGCTTCTACCGTTTGTCTGCCAGGGTTAAGGAGAATGGATGTAACTGTCAAGAATTTAGAGGGAAATGAAGAAGAAAACTTTCAGGAGGATGAAGAGACAAGCCCCGTAAGTCACAAAACAAAGAGCTATGGTATATCCATTGATTCTGGCTTGATTCCATCTGTACCCGTCGAAGAGCAAGCAGCGGTGTTGAGAAACCTGGGAGTAAATGTATTTAACCAGGATGAATTTGAGGAAGGAGTTTTAAAGCAGGTCGATGAAGCTATTGCTGTGAAAGAAACAGAGGAGATTGTGAAAGGATGGGAGAAAAACCTGAAAGCTGTGGATGAAGATATCAGGTTAGCTTAGGAGAGCTTGACAATCATCTTTGCGATCTCTAAATTGAAGATTGCAGTTATACAAAGATATCTCACATAATGAGATATGCCCCATTGCAAACAAGACCAGAATTGGTTCCATCTTGTCTCATCAAGGAAGAATGTACATGTTTTAATATTCCTACACTGTACAGAGGTTATTGTGAGGTCAGAATCTTCCTTAAATGCTCAATCATTCCATTTGATTCTTGGAATAATTTCGTCATCTAGTATCAGTGAATGGCCAGATCATATGCTGAACCCTAAATTATGAGGACCTTCGAATTTACCAGTCTTGACAATCAATTCAGTGGCTTAATGTTAGTGGCTGATTTACAGTAGTAATGATTCTACAGTGTGTATGCTGTTAAAATCATGAATTATCCACATTAAGTGGGAGACACACTTGGCCATTTTATTTCTTAATCCCAACAAATTTGATTACCAGCAAAAAATCACTGATATCTGACTTCACAGATATCAGCAAATTTATATGCTGATTGCAGCAATCAGTGAAAACGGCTGCAGACCTGGGCATACATGGTGAATTTCACAGATCACTGTGATCAGCACATAAAATTGCCAAGTGTGTCTCTAGCTTTACAAAAAGGCTCTTGTAGCATATGAGCAATTCAGAGTACAATAACCTTTCCCATTATATTGTCATTCTTATTATCAGGATTGTGGAAAATGATTTGCTTGAGATTGACCAAATATTGAAAAGGGTTGAGAGTAAGATTGGAGCTGGATATGAATCATGGAGAAGAACCCAAGCAGTGCAGAAACAAAAGGATAACAAGGTGTTTTTTTTGGATAATTCTGTTGTTGTAAATGCAATGTAAAAAGTTTTTTGAAAAGCTTTGCATTAACATTCAAATCATAGCAACACAAAGAAGGTGAATAATACAAACCCAGGTTCATTGTCTTTGCACTAGCTTTCTTGAGTTTTAAAATTTATGCAACTCAATTATTATTGTTTTAGATCTGTGGCTTGCAATGCCGTAATTAAGGCGTTCTTAATGAATGTGTTTAAAAAAGACTTAGTATATTCTGGAGACTGGATAACCAGGTCATCTGTCAAGATTTTCCTTTCCTGAGTGTGACTATACTAGAAATTATCAAATGACCCATCTAGCCCAGCTCATGCAATCCCATCGAAAGCTGCTGGGAAAGCTGACATGTGTAGGGCTGGACAGGTTCACGTGAGCTGGTTTGGAAAAAGGCGTCTGGCCCTAGTGCACTTCTATGGCTTCATTGTAAAAATGTTGTTTGCTGTTGTTGCTAAAAATGAGTGACAGCAGTGAACAGAAATGAGAAAATAAGTCACACTTTTCGATGAATTGTGAGTTTCTTGTTCTGACACAAAAATGAAGGAAAAGTTTTAACTGTAGAATTTTTTGTGTGGTTTCCTGCACATGACAGTCTATTGCATCATATTCAGGTTAAACAAAATTTTTGAAATTTTTAAAACTTATTGGTCATATAATAAAAATGCTTATTGACTGAGTTAAGTTGGGCTGGAGGTGAAAATGTTTGGCTCCAGATCAATGACGCATGCTGTTCTCAGTCTGTAAATTATGACTTCAAGGCAAATATGGCCCAAACTAACTCAGTCAATAAGTACATAGTGTTTATCCAACCCCTCTGGAAGAAACTATTTGTCATCATACAATTTGATATTTTCTCTCCAAATTGCAGCCTTTGAAAATCCTTCCCTCCCCCTGCTCCTAGGATTTTAACTAACTTAGCTTGGGGAGGATAACAATGCTTTGAGTGCATAGATGTACATGTACTTTTATGCATAGTCTGATCAAGATAGAGTAAGTTTAACTCTAATAATGCATTATTTTTTGCAAATTTCTTTAGCTTCGCCAGTTGAAGAAATTACAAGCAACTCAAAAGGCATTACACCACAAGTTAGGTATTGGAAATGAGGAGGAATTAGAACAACAGGGTACTGTTTTTTTTACATTTTTTTCTGGGAGTTAAAGGGTTGAAGTCTGTTCCTTGTAGAGACAACTTAAAGTTCCAAGACAATTTGATACCACAACTGATTAAAGAGGCTTGTGAGACTTTGAAATGGGATCCCAAATTATGTGGTGCTAACTCCTACATGTCATTGTTTTTATATTTTCAGTCGAGTTTAAGACTTCAGATGGCAATATTCAGAATATGAGTGAAAACAGGAAATTCCCACTTGTCAGAGAAAACCTCTCAGGACAAGATGCATTGATTAAGACTGGAGAGATGACACCATTTGGAGGGACTATTCCAGGCAATGGCAATAAAGTGAACAAGAACAATTTTGGTGCAACTGATGCTGAAAACTCTAAGAATTACAAGCATGGTGGGAATGAGGATGGTGATGATGACAAGGACAACTATGATGAAGATCTTTATGATGCTGAATATGTTCCTGATGAAGGCGAGCTCAAGTACAGTTGGTTTGAGGATGATGAGAGGAACTGGAATGAGGATGATGTCCAACCAACTAAATCAGAGAAGCAGACTGGAAGAAAAAGATCTTTAAATGTTGCATATGTAGAAGAAGATAGCCTTAAGCCAAAGAAGAAGAAGAAGAAAAAAACAAATCAAATGACCAGAAGAAGATATGACAATAAACCTGTTGATGATGGAAATGAAAAATTGTACCGCCAAAGGATCAGGTGATTTTTAATGCTCTACTTGATTGACAGTAAGGATTGTACATCTTATCATTCATGTGATGAAATTTAAAATTTTTATTTTTCAGATATAACTTAAACAAAATTTTTCTAGCATTACATTAAATTTCATTTTGCTACGTTGAGCTGTAGAACCTCATAACAGTGATCATAATGTACAGTGTATGACATTTGAATAAAGGGGTAAGTTTCTAAAGAGACTTTGGTGCTGTGTCAGTGGGTGGTATAACAAGATGATTTGGTTTGATCAACTGAGTTGATAAATGTAAGTTGGCCACAGTAAAGAGTTTCTGAAGCTGATGTTTTAAGTGTTAGCCCTGTGTTAGCTCATTAGCTCTAGATAACAAACTTTGTGAATTTATATTAAGTATACATGATTGTGTAACAATTAAGACTTTATGATTCAGGGAATGGAGAATCAGTGAACTTCTCAAAAAGAGAGGCAATTCCTCAGCTGTTGAAAGTGGTGAGGAAGAGTATCCTGATGTAGTTTTTGACAAGGGGCTTAAGATTCCAGGCAAATTATGGGACAAGTTGTACAAGTAAGTCCTATCTAATTCCTTCCTAGGTTTGAATCCTCTAAAGGAACCCATAATCGTCTCTTTGTTCCATACACCACTCTTTACTCATCCTACAAATTTTTACCAGGATGGTATATTGTTTTCATGCGAACAATTGCCCAATATTCCAACTGATTATTTTCAAAGCCACTGAATCAATAATAGTTTTTTACTGAAGAAAGCTGGGAGCTACTGTATGTGTAGCAAAGAAGTAGTTCTAGTGAGAGTGATGAACTAGTAAAGGAGAAAGATCTTGAAAAAAAGATGTAAACAGCTCTTCCCAAACCCCCTCACTGGTTTGTTGTGTTCAGGCCCTCCGATGCTCTACCACTGAGCCACAGAGACTCTACGGTGAGCGAGGTCTATTACAACAATCAAGAGCTTCTTTAGTTGGTGATCATCTCCTTTGTTCTTGCGACCTTAAGGCTTGATTCACAGGTGATACTGTAAGGAAAACTAACTGCTAGTCACTCTTAGAGAATAAAGGATTAATCTATGGATGTGTATCTTCTAGATACCAACAGACAGGTGTAAAGTGGCTGTGGGAGCTTCACTGTCAGCAGGCTGGTGGTATTATTGGTGATGAAATGGGCCTGGGAAAGACTGTTCAGATGATTGTTTTCCTTGCTGGACTGAAGTACAGTAAAATATCAGCCAGGAAGAAGTGGGTATTCTCTTACAGTATTGTGTATAGAAAAGCTCCCTTATTTTGGTTGGCAAAAAGTAGTGAAATACTTCTTTCCACTGAAAATAGCAACTTATAACGTGTTGAAGCTGTCTGGACACGGTTGATTGAATGGTGGATAATGCTATTTTCTGGATAAATTGCTATCTGGTGGATAACGCAGGGTGTTTTTATGACACTTATCTGCTGGAGAGCGATTTATCCATCGGATAACGTCTTCCCCCCTTGAAAAACTGGGCCCTGGTTGATAGTGCCATCTGCTCTTCAAGTAATTTGAACCTGAAAGACAGAATAGAAAGATGAATGAACTTATACCTTTTGAAAAAAAAAACTGAGCCTTTGTCCCTTCATGGAGAGGAAAAAGGGGAAGTAGCTCTGGCAGTTGTGATTACTTAACTCAAGTTGACTTACAGATTAATCATATCCATCACCAGAATGTACTGATTATGAAAAAGATTCCGAATGACAAAGCATTCTGTGTTAATGTGGCAGGCAGCCAGGGCTAGGACCAGTGTTGATTGTGTGTCCTGTGACAGTTCTTCATCAGTGGGTACAAGAGTTTCATAAATGGTGGCCAGAGTTCAGAGTGGCTGTACTTCACGAAACAGGAAGTTATCAAGGATTCAAGGTTAGTTGTATACTCAGGCAAACAAGAAGGCAGACATAGAGGCAGACGTGTAAACAAGCAGACAGACACATAAACAGACAAGCAAGGAAATAAACAAGCATGTGTAGAAAACTGACTGTTCGATCAAATGAGTGAGTGAGTGATTAGCTGGCTTACAGACAGACAGACAGACAGACAGACAGACAGACAGACAGACAGACAGACAGACAGAAGCAAAACTAGTATCACATAAAAGAGCGCTTTTCGATCGAGTTTCGTAAAACTAAAACCAGAGTAATGAAAACGGCAAATCGGAAGAAAGAAAAATACCCTCAAGAGCTACTAGGAACTCAAAGTCAAAACAAGCAAACTCCTTATTGAAGCGCAGGCGACCAAGTCGTCATCAGTTTTAGTTTTGCATCTGATTGGTCAAGAGGATGGCGCTAGTTCTGTAGATGACAGACTGAATAAATTTCAAAATCAGCGCAATCCCGGATTACGTACAATTGAAAATTGCTCTAAAACAACTGACTAACACATGGAAATGAACACGAAAACTAGCAAACAAACAAAAAGACAAGCTATCAGATAGAGAAGGGTATAGCAAAACAAACAAACAGACCTACACGCAGATAGGCTGGAAAATAAACAGTCTCAGTGTTAGAATGTATCTTGCAGCAAGAGCTGATCAAAAAGATGTGTAAAGAGAACGGTGTGTTGGTGACATCCTTTGCGGGAATTCGTCAACATCAGGATCATCTGCTTGCCCAGAGGTTTGACTATGTTATTCTGGACGAGGGTCACAAGATTAGAAATCCAGATGCAGAGATAACTTTGGCATGTAAACAGGTAAAATTGCAAGCTGTGCTTTTTTATGTTAAATCTCTTGATACTTATTATGATATTATCAGCGCTGCAGGACGCGCGTTTGTTCGCCCGTGGGAAGATTGGAGACGAGTCGGGGAGAGGTTTATCGGGAATCGCTGACCCCGATGCAGACCTCTCGCGGGCTCACGTTACTTAAGACCTTATACTCTCCCGTGGGCGGTGAAACACTCGTGCACGCAGGCTAGACGTTCGGTTATTTTTTGACAAATCGTTTTAGAGCGAAGATACTTGATGGATGATAAACATTTCTCAGTTTTAAATCACGACTAACAAATATTTAATGCTTTCATTTTTTGTGTGATTAGTTTCGCACTTGTCACCGCATCATCCTCTCTGGCTCACCCATGCAGAACAACTTGCGAGAACTGTGGTCGCTGTTTGACTTTGTGTTTCCTGGAAAACTTGGCACCCTGCCTGTGTTCATGACTGAATTCTCCGTGCCTATTACTATGGGGGGATATTGTAATGCTACTAAAGTTCAGGTACTGACTCCAGGGAGGTATACAGGGGTCTTGGTCTCGAACAAGCATTTTACGGTCACATGTAAATTGGCCTGAATATTTGTCTGCAGATATTGTCTGTCCTCTTCCCTGAACAGATTTTGTACCCAGGCAAATGATTCTTTTAAAATCTATGTATATTTGAGTACAATTTCGAGCTAATTTTTTAAAAATCCTTTTTGCTTTTGGAAAGTTCATTGCTTCATTAAGTTCATTAAAAGTTCATTAAATTGGCTTGCAGAAATCAACTGTTCGCTTCTCTTAACTGATTTTGTCTCAGCGCAAATGATTCTTGTAAAATCTGACAATTTAAAGCTGATTTTTTAACATCCTTTTTTCCTTTGGAAAGTTCATTTGATCATATTCATCGTGTGTTTTACGTAACTTTTCATCATGACGAGGAAATTACAACAACAGTTGCCTCAACAAATTTTGGTAACCAGAAGCGTCGAGTGTCAGCTCTTTTATTTAAATGCTCTTTGTTTATTACGAAGGTCGAAACAGCATACAAGTGCGCCTGTGTTCTCAGAGACACAATCAACCCATACCTGCTGAGAAGACTGAAGAAAGACGTCAACATGAGCTTGGATCTACCAGCAAAGAATGAGCAGGTTTTTGAACCACTTGTTACCAAACTTTCGCCGCCTTCTGTGTCATTAGGGTCATCAGTGACGTTAGCCCTGCATACTGCTATAATCAGCAATGTCGAAAGCGTCGTGTGCAAAAATAGTTTGACGGAGATGGTCGATTTTGTGCTTCACTAAGGTTTCGTCAATGTATTGGTCATAGGATGGTAATTGAGCTAATAATTTTTGGCTCTATCTAGCGCTTCATGATCGCTGCAAAACCGAAGGTTTCCTGGTTGTTACCGTAATATCTCCCTTTATTGTGATGAAAGAAACTAGAATTTTGATCGAACAACGACACGATTCAATAATCACAAAAGTTGTCTTTTTTTTGCTACCTAAATTCTCAGTAAGTTCTAGTCTCAACAGATACCTGAAGCTATTTTTTGTCTGTACAGGTTCTTTTCTGTCGATTGAGTCAGGAGCAGCGTGAACTTTACCAGCAGTATTTAGACTCTAAAGAAGTGCAGGCCATTTTAGCTGGTAACTATAAGGTATGCCTGGTACTTTCTTCCCTTTACATGAGAGCAAAGTCTTAGTATCACGATCAGAGCGTACGCATTATGCGCGGGAAACCATGCAAGTGGACAGAGCGTGTAACAGCAAAAAACGTCATCTTTTTAACTCGAAATAATGGTGTTTATTAGATTGTAGCACTAGTGGTAGGTTGAAACTAAAAACAGAGATAAAAGTTAAGTTAACTAATTAAGAAAAACAAACTACAAACAAAAAATGAATACAAACGAAGGGAAATGAAAAAAATAGGTACATTGATAACGCGTAATATATAACTGCAAAATCGACCTCTAAAACAGAAGTGTCCCGAGCATGATCAAATTTGGGGTTCTGCTGTCAAGGAACTGTCTCTCTTGGTAGCCAGTACTTTTCAGCATCATCTAATGGATTATATAAATATTTAAATTTATTTGCTAATTTCAGTTTCTCCGTTCATTGTGTTAGGTTTTTCCTGGTCTGATCATGCTGCGGAAGATTTGCAACCATCCTGACCTGACATCAACAGCAGGCTCCCTGCTTAAAGCTAAACAGGATGCTCTCAAGGCTGAACTAGGGGGGAGGGCTGAGGAGGAAGAACCTGACCCTGATGATGGGTATGGGGACCCCAAACGGTCTGGAAAGATGATTGTTGTGGAAGCTTTGTTGAAGATGTGGCAAGAACAGGGACATAGAGTATTACTGTTTTCGCAGACAAGACAGGTTAGTGAAAACGCGGTTGACCCAAAGTGACAGTCGTTCGTATTTTACCTGCTTGAGAAACTCCTGCGATTCCATAAGATTTAAGCGGCGTAACCACGGAAAACGGTTGTTGAAAGTTCAGAGCGACTTTACGAACAAACTACTTTGTCTTTTCTTCTGTAGCGGCCTGTAATGCTGGTGTCTCATTAAGGCGAGTCAACGTCACAAGCTCGCGATCGTTTATTTGCCAGTCATGTTTGATTTAGAGTAACAGCGGACCATTTTAGATGTCGTAAATATCGGTGTAATATAACCAGATGTTCCTCAATTTTGGCAGGGGCATATTTGGAAAAACGAATCTTGCGCGGGCGGAAATACTTAATATAATGAACTTTTATGAGACGAAGCCCTCCGGTGGAGTATGCGAATTCTTGCAGATGTTCCTGTTTCCCCTCTCTTTTGTACATGGATGGGGGCACCCTCAGATATCCACCTGGGTTAGTAAGTCGCGCAGTAATATGTATACATAAAACTCGATGTCCACGAACCCATTTTGCCATTCCCTGAGAACTCTGTTTTAACCGGAGGGTATACGTACTGTATCTCTGACCATTAGAGCCATACAGCTCACAAAGTAGATTGTGAGTTGTAGCTTTCTTTTTCACCGAGTGTCTGTAAGGTAACACTAACAAATAAACCTGGTACGGGATCATTCTTTTAGATGTTAAATATCCTTGAAAAGTTTGTCGAAGCCAGAGGCTACAGATACTTCAGACTTGATGGTTCGACACCAGTGGCGTCCCGACAGCCTTTGATCACAAACTTCAATGAGGTACACTCTGTATAATGGATTTAGTGGCTTTATACCGAACCCAAACTACACCTACGTTTCGTTTTCAGTCTGTGCTTAATGCTGCTTGTCTGTACTCTAATTTAAAATGACTCATCAAAGGACATTTGTGTAGATGCCACGTTAAGTGTATTGCAAAAACAAGGATGTTTATATTAGGTGCAATCTCGCCAGATAACATTATTGATAATATAATTCTTTCTCTGTGTATCAGGATCGTTCAATTTTCTTGTTTATTCTCACCACTCGTGTTGGCGGGCTGGGCGTGAATCTTGTGGGCGCAGACAGGATTATCATTTATGACCCTGATTGGAACCCCAGTACTGACACGCAGGCACGAGAACGAGCCTGGAGGATCGGACAGAAGAAGGACGTCACCATCTATCGCTTAATCACAAGTGGAACAATAGAGGAGAAGATCTACCATCGGTAGGAACATTAAGAGAATTTTTTTCTTTCTTCTTTTTTTTCTTTTTTAAGAAGAGTTAATCATGTGACATACATTGATTTGAAGATGTAAATAGGGACGACGCATTCATAAGCACATGCACAAGACACATGTGCTTGCCTCGCACACGCTCACACGCAGATGATATGCCTATGTCATTAGTGAAAACTGTGCAGTGTTATAGACTCTGTTCACATAAATCCGCCGAAGAGGTAACTAATTTCGTTGTGAAACGAAACCTACTTTACCATCGTCGACAAAAAATATTTTCTTTCCGTTCGTAGGCAAATTTTCAAACAGTTCCTCACCAATCGAGTTCTGAAAGATCCCAAGCAACGCAGATTCTTTAAGTCCAATGACCTTTATGAGCTCTTCACATTAGACAACTGTGACGTCAAATACGGCACAGAAACAAGCGCCATTTTCGCTGGGTCAAACTGTGAAGTCAAATTGGGATCGCGTCGAAGGAAGAAAAGGGAGGCTGAACAAACAAAGGTGGTGAAGCGTCAAGTCGACAACGAGGAAACAAAAAAATCGAAAAAGGTAGAAATAGAAAAGGATGCACAAATTAGTGGAGGTGCTTTCTCGATCGATTGGCGGGACATAGCTGAAACACAAAGCTTGTCACAGGATAAGGAATCAAAGAAAGAAGGGCAAGAAGCATCGAAGGAAGTTTACGTGGAAACTGTTGGTGAAAAAAGCTCCGCTCAAGATGGTCTCATTGACGAGGGAAAGGAAAAGAAAAGTGGAGAAAACGATGAGCTCGTGAATGAAGATTTGGCAGCGAAAGCCATGTTAGTCGATTCTTACGATGTAGAGAAAGAAGAATCTACATTAGCCTCTTCTAAACAAGATGAAGCCCACATCCAAATTCAAACGTCAGAACAATCTGAATCAAAGAGAGAGAACACAGCAACAATTGCAGAAAATGATAATATTCCTAAGGAAGACAACCAGGGAAGCCTTGAAAAAGAGACTGGTCACGTTTTGAAAAAAGGAAAAAAGAACCTTTCGTCTTTGAGCGATAATGAACTGACGAAGAAAGTTAAGCGAAAAAAAAAGAAAAAAAGAATGAAAAGGAAACGTCAAGGAGGAGGTAGGTGAAATCAATCTGAATCACGTGTGAAACCAAATTGCTGGTTTGATTGCATTCCGATTAGGTGTCGTTGAACCAAAGCTAAAGTGATCACAACAGCCAATCAGATTTGAGGAAAGAAATCACGAAGAGCCAATCAGGACGCAAAATAAAATACAAATACCCAAAGCGCGGGAGAACGTGGCTTGTTTTACATCTGATTGATTGAGCGCTTGGCACGAGTTTTCTGGATAATCACTTTCTTTGTGTGATTTGTAGTAATTGACGGTCAACACATCGATCATCTGGATCACAGCGAAATCTACAACTCAGTGAATGCTAGTCAGTCAAGTGCAGAAGAAATGGAAGAACAGAAACAGCAAAACGCTCATCAGGACGAGTTTATTCTGAAGCATCTCTTTAAGAAATCAGGTCTGGATGTAGTCTTGTTTTTACTTATCTTGATGGTTGAGATGACAATTTTTAAGGTCAAAACTGGGTACATAATAACTAGGTAAGCGCCTTATTTTCGTGAAAATTGTTGCCAGAGAACAGGACGTCGCTCTGACATTCGGTGACACTGGCTGGTGCTCATCCCATTGGGCGAGTTATTCTCGGAAGGTTGTCGGATGCTTTTACGAAGGTTTGCCGAATCCACAGATAATGCAGTAGAAATTCAGTTTGGGTTTATCTTGCTATTTCTTTGGCGTCAAATTTTTAAATTCGTTCGTCAAAGGACAACTTTGTCAAATTTGGTCTTAAATTAAAATGTGAAATTTCTTTACACCGTAAGGGAAGGAAGAGAAATCAATAGTTTTTGGTTTTATTACAAGTAGAGTTTGGATAATGAATTCATAGGAGATAGATACGGGTCCGGCACAAGGAGTGAACCTCTCTCCCTTTAGGAGTTTAATTGATGATTGGTGGGGAACTGTCACCAAAAGAAATGCCATGGAGTTGCCTTTTCTGGACTAGCAGCCAGGGCCGGGTTAAGGTAACCCAGGGTTAGTGTTAATCTAAATTTCAGATGTGAAAGCTTAAAGAGAAAATTTAATAGAATTATTTTTGTGTAGAATTTGATTTTTGGATGCTCTTAAAAGAATAGAGAAAATGATCCTAAGAAGGCTTTTGAAGGAGGGAATAAAGAAACCTGGATGAAATTTAACCTTGGGTTAGCGCTTATCGGCCTTGGAACAACCAGGCCCAGGGCGATTAACTTTATGCAACGGAATCCGAAATGAGTCTGGCGAAATAGGCTTCATTATAGACATCGCCTTTTTTACCCAATTTGATAGGTGTACATAGTGCGTTGAAGCATGACGTCATCATGGAGGCCAGCAACCCGGATTACGCACTGATTGAAACAGAGGCAAACCGTGTGGCAGAGCATGCTGTGAAAGCGCTGAAACGATCACGCCAGTTATGTCTTAGTGCGAGCAGAGGGGTTCCTACATGGACGGGCGCGTCAGGTTCATCTGGTTTGACTGAACCAGCCGCAAAGAGGTATTGTCGTTTAAGGTCTGCTTGAGATAAACATATCTCACTAGTAGCAAATAAACTTTATGACGTAATGTGTTTCTCAGATATAAGGGAAAAATTTGTCACTTAAGGTATGGGTGGGAAATGAGTGCAATTGATGGAAAGTACGTGAAAATAAATAATCAGTGGCAAGCATGAATGGGGCTTCGTCGTGAAGCGCGCGGGTTGCAAGCTCCGCTACAAGTGGCAAGAAAGTGGCGCGAAAATGTCAAATAGAGCCAAACGCAGAAATTTTGCATTTATACCAAGTGATGGAAAATGTGCGTACACTACGTTGCTGGTTTTTGTAGGCTGTTGAAGTTAAAAGTACTTATATGTAAATATTTTTTGTTCGGATTAGGCCACGGTTTGGACAGAAGAACAAGGTCGGTTCAGAGGAAGCTGCAAAAGTGAGAATTATACTTAAAAAATTTAAACACAGCATACACACTCTCTGTCAGTTTAACTAGAAGAGTAAAGCTTTTGATTGGCGAAATTTCACTTTCCTATTTATCGCTTTCCATTCGTTTCCTGGTGTTAATCGCATCAGCACCTTTCTGACTCCAGGCGAATTATGATTAAGCTTCTAATACTTATTTTTTTGTGGTTAACAGTCCTCCTCCACTTTGGAAGTCAAGCCTCACTTCAGTGGCGACCAAATGGGCATGAGCAGTTCGTCTGCAGAAGGCACGGAACCAGTCCACTCTAGTCAACTGCTGGCGAAGATGAGGGCTAGAAACAACATTTTGCCTAGCAATGAGACAGGGCATGGAAACGAGAATGACGACTTAATTCTCCAGATAAGGACTTTCATTGCGTCACAAGGAACAACGATGGGACAAGCCACAACTCAGGAAATCTTAGACGAGTTTCGTTCTAAACTCCCATCTAATGAAACTACCTTGTTTCGCTCTATGTTGCGACAGATTTGTACTTTTACAAGGGATTCGTCATCTGGGAAAGGCATCTGGATTTTAAACGAAGAGTTTAGATGAAGCACCAATTTCTCACAACTAGGGTAGAAATCTCCTATGCTCTCCAAAGTAATGGAAATGGTTGCTTGCAGTCGCATAAGTAGCTGGTTAAAAAAAATGGTGATCTTCAAAAATCTTTAATCTTTATAGGCGCTGAAAAATTTATCAGGCTACAATATAAAATGAATAACTTTATATCTATGCTTTAAAACGACGTAATCTTAACACCTTCTACAGTTTATATATAACCAAACTAGTCAGCAACTTAGACCCGGTTTTCCATGAATGCTGTGCATTTAGTCTATAAATTGAGTTGAAGACTTAGCGATTCGGAGATATATAGTTCGCGGAAAAGAAACAATCAGTTTGTGTACAGAGCGATTAAGAGATTAAGCTTGACGCGAACGTTAAGAAAAATTGAACTTCTTGCCTTCTACTTTTAATCCTTTTGATACTAAGATGATGTATGTCCATTGACTATGGAGAATAATATTTTTTAGTGCATATCCACTGGCTCGATTTAAGAATTACAGACAAAGGTGAGACACGACAGATGTCAATTTTGCTTTTTGCCGTTCCTGTAAACGTAATGCTAATTAACAGCTTACGAACATTTAAGATTTTAGTAGGTTCGCAAAAACTGCGCCCAAAAATAGCCATGAAATTGGCAGCTGAAGAAGAACGTCTGTGATGACAGTCTGTTGAAATTTCAAAATAACGAAAGTCGCGGAAATTTGCAAGATTTTCAACGAAGATGAAAAAAAAATAATGAAATAAAAAAACAAAATAAACATTAGGTTAACTGGCCTGAAGATGTCGGTTAATATGTTGTGAAATCTTTAAAAGTAAAACAAATTACACTATAGTTACGTTAGTTTTGTGTAGCTTTTGTTCGGCATCCTGGCAAACGAAGACAATTAAATACTGAAATTATCATAACTAAAGTAAAATATTGTGGATTAGAATTATATATCCGATCTTTCACTTGATAATTTTCCCTTTCAACCTATTTCTTGATAGTAAAATTGCTTAAATCTTAAGTATTTCCCAACACTGATCAATTTAGTTTCGGCAGATGGCTTAGATTGTTTAGTTACTTATTAAAATCGTAGTTACTAACCCGCGTTAGACTAGTTATGGCTATCTGCAGGTCAGCCAATGAACTATTGATAGTTTGAAAGTGTAAATAGAAGGTTTGTGTTCCTTTGAAGTGAGGTTCATATAAAAAATATCTACCTAAGGTAGGAAAATACAAACCGTAACCGAGAGAAATTCCAAGGGATTGGCTGAGCTTTATGGTACCCTCGCTTATGGACTTTTTTACTTTTTTAACGATAAGGAAACTAGTACAGTTGAGAGCATAGCTTCCCGGTGTTTTCGTCAATTAAGATGGTGATCGCGAGCAATAAGATCAGACTCCTTGTGAAAATAAACTCAGTGTATAAGAAAAAAGAAGAATAGGAAGTAGAAGATGTAAACGTTTGTTGTCAGCCACTTTAAGTTTGCGTTCTAAACGCGCTACAAACAAACAACTATTTGTAGACCGAGGTAAAAATCATGAAGCTAGGTGATCATTCAAATAAAAGAGTTTTATGTTTTCCATTGTTATAATAAACTGAGTTTCGTTTCGAAAAAGAGACCTTGATCTTCTCATGTCAACATGATAAATGTGGTTGTCTTTTGGGTGTGCACGTGCATATGACAACTCTTCCTTACAATATATCTCTGATAAATGTGGTTGTCTTTTGGGTGTGCACGTGCATATAACAACTCTTCCTTACAATATATCTCCGTGACCCGTTACAGATACCAACAGCTTTATACACAGAGGCTAATAGAGAGCGAGGGTCCGGAGGGCTCAGACACCCCCCTTCCCTCCCCTCCCTCAACCACACACTCACACACTCGCACTTGTTTAGGTTGTTTTTAACTACTGGTCAAACACTAGAATTCGTGCAACGACAGTACCACAGATGTTAATTTCCACTAATTGACCAGTTCTTTTTTGTTGTTTTTCATCTGTAATATATCTCAGTGGGTGCGAATTTTGGGGTCCGTATGAACTAATGGTATCCTTTAAAGAGGACTCTTGTGAGTTGGGGGGGGGGGACAGGGGGTCAGAGTCTTCTGCTTCTCGTACCACGTTCTCCCGCCTCCCGTACTTTTGTCCTCCTTTGCCTCCCGACTCCCACCCTTCATTGAGTAGCTCCCGTCTTCAAAATAAAAAAATTGCGTTGAAAAGTGAACCACTCCGCACTCTCCGGCGCGCTCACTGAAGCGGCATTCCTCTGAAACAAGTTTGCAAATTTTGTCGGAAGCAGGGTAGCCAACAGAGGCCTTCGTTATTTTCCCGCCAAATCTTCTTGACCGTCGGTAGACTGGTATCGGGGACCGTCATACACGGGTGCTCTGGTGAACAAAATGGCGGCCACTGATGCTCCAACTACGGTTTGTACTTCTTTCAAATTCTTGTTTTGTGCAAAATTTTGCGAGCAGCTTTTCGTGATACTTTGTATTTCTCGTGTTAAAATATGATTTATGGCAATATCTGCAACAGTCTGAATTCTCTGTCACATTGTGCATACATTAAACTATTTACACGTGCCCTTCAAGAACCTATCGTATGTAGTCCAGATTTTAGAAAATATTGTCCTAAAAGAGGAGAATTCTTAGATTTTGCTGATTCAGGAAGTCTTTATGTACTATTCATAAACGTTTGTCAGAAAGCAAGCCTCTACAGCTAACATTGTTACTCTGAAAGCGTAACAACCAGTGAGGAAGTTATGCTCATAGTTTTCTTCTTTTTAGAAAAGAGTTATTTTAGTCCCTTTAAGACTTTGTATCCATTTTTTCAATGGGAACATTAAAGAAGATTATTAACGTTTTACCAGTCTCTAAACTGTGAAAGACTGTGCCTGTAAAGGTATTCGATTTTGTTAACGAACACGGAACACATGCAATATGACACATTCAAAGCCCTATGTGAGTCCACTAGAGTAAAACCTCAAATGGACTCCACTGGGTATGGATCACAATTAATGCTAGTGTACTGAGAAATTTTATCAGAGGGTAACAAAAGAGGGGGTCCTGTTCCCATTTCATGCACAAAGTTAAAAAAAAATTGGTGCGTCAAGTCAAGTGTACTTTAAAAATTATTTCGCACACCAATAATTTAAAATAGAAAACTTCAAATCTCATCTTACCTTGCCTTTGTGTAAAACTCACAAATTATGTAATAATTTTGGGCTTAATTATGAGTCACATTTACACCCTTTGCCACCTTCTCTTCATTGTTGATTCCCCTGAAAAGGTGAAGCTACCAATGCTGATGATTCTATCATTTTTCACTATTTGTAAAGATCATTCCAGGATGTCAGGGTCTTGCAGGGTACTGGGTACCAGGAAGTGGAATACTTGTTCATAAGTCAGATATCCAGTCAAGTAAGATTGTTATATAACATAATGCTTGTAGCTACAGTACATACCCACAGATTTTCACAGCATTGTTTGCCTGCAGGTCTCTGGGGTCACCTCATGTAATGAGTCATCCTAAGAATATGAAATTAAAATTTGCAACAAGAAACCAGATTGGAACTAATTGTGATTTCAGCATTTATTTATTACATTTAAATAATCAAACGAGGTAGTAATTTAAAAATTGTTGAAACTGCTATTTAGTAAACTTGATTAGACCACTGCTAAGTAAGACTCAGCACATATATTGGCATTGTTATGGCCCAACCTACCCAAAATGCATTTTCTCTATTGAAATGCACCAGTTTACAGCTAAATTTGTAGCAAGTGTTTGCGGATAAAACTTGGAGGGCAAAAGATATTTTGGAAGAAAGTCTTTAGTTAAAGCTTGCTTGTGTCTTAACCTAGGGAGAAAACTGCACCTGACTTTGAATTTTTTAACAAATTCCTCCATTTTAGACAAGTAGTGCAATGGATCCAAGCAGGAACCCACAAAAGTTCTTGACATGCACTATTACTTTTCATCTCAATTGGTTGAATCATGCCTTGCAGATTATTTTGGTAAACAAAATCACATGATTTGACTTTGAATCACATGGCTAATCTTACCTGAAATCATGTGACCCTAGCAAGTTAACAGAACTGTTAGTTATCCCTGTTTACAAGCTGACTGCAGCTTCTCTTCCTTAACCAAAACCAGTTCTCAAAAACTGTCAGGAGATGGTTAAGTGTGTTGGAGAGACAGTACTTTGTAGTAAATTCTAGTGCCCTCTAAAGTAAGTAACCACAAGAAAACTGATGCAATTGCATTGTCAACAAGGATTAATATTCAATAACTTTAGTGTAAGTACTTCATTTTCTCTTTAAGGAGTATCTCAGGGCTCAGAGCACTGCCAAATTCCTGTTCTACATGAGGTCCAATGGGGAGCAGATTTTCAAAGTTTAATAACCCGCAAATTGATTAATGAAACACACGGTATGAAATACATGTATTATTGAAATAGACTTTGAGTAATAGTTTTGTTTGTTTCAAAATAGCCAAAAAATATATTGTTTCAAATTTAGTGTCATTCATAAATACTGATGACAAACAAAAGATTATTCTGTGATGAGTTAGCAACACTTTTGATACTTGCAAAGCTTGGTTAGGTGACAATTTACAGTACATAGTAAGAAACTATAGTACAATAGTCTTCCACTACTATGTTATTTTACCAAATAAGTTCTTGTAAGTGCACAAAATATGCCGTAGTATTACACTGTAGAGCAGGGCAAAAATATGAAGCAACAAAAGGGTTGCTCTGAACAATCCAAACTTTGGTTTTTATTCTTTTTGTTTTTCAGTCTTGATTGTCAAGAAATAATTTTACGCATAACAGACAATTTTGTAGTTCACAACAGACAGTTCAGTGGTTTTGTGTGTGTTGTTTTCTTCTTTCACATACTTTTTATAATGCACAGATGAGACCATGGAATGTGATTTGCAAACTAAAATCAAAAAACTTTAACCCTTTAACTCTCATTAATGATTCTCCTCACACTCTGCCATATAGTTCTTGTGATGTTAGTTTGGAGAATTTGGTATTGGATCAACCAATAATCCCTAATTAATATTTTTCTTTATTCTCATCACTTGTCTGCTTGATATTGTATTGATATTGAAAAGAGAAATTCTGTCTTGGTCACTCATGGGATTAAAGGGTTAAAGTGAAATAATAGTGGAATAATTAAACCCTTCATCAATGTTTTAACATAGAGTTCAAGCAGACATTTTTCTCATTGCTCATATTGTTCCTTGCCCCTTCAGGGCTCAGAAAAATTCTACACAACTTGCAAAATATCTGTGTATAAATTATATGTTAAATAATTGAATCAGGTATATTTTTTAAATTGCAATTAATTTAGGTTTAATTGAGGAATTTAAGGAGTTATATGATTAAACATGTCCTGAATTATAGTATAGATGTTGAGTGAAATGATTGGGTTAAGAATAACAAAAATCTAAATGAACTGCACTTGTTTTAGGTAATTACTGTGTCTAGAAAAAGTTGATATACCGCATAGACCCTAGAGTAATCAAAGATATCAAAGGAAAGCCAAAGTGTGTGAGCATGGAATAATTTTGTCATATTAATTTTGTCATATTTATTTGTATCCTAGCCATTTTTATGGATCTTCAACATGTTCCTGATTCTGGAGGAACAGGGAGAAAGGCAAGGTACAACTGACTGAGTGAACTAAACTTTCTGAATGCCGAAAGCCTAAATCTGTTCAGTTATAAAATGGTGGCTAGAAATATAATTATATTAAGGTAAATTTGGTTTTATCAACTGAGTTAAAGGACTAACACTTGAAATGTCAGCTTTGAAACTTTCAGTGGACAATTTTCATTATCAACTCAGTTGATAAAACCAAAGTTATCCTGTTATACTCCCCTATGGATGCAGCACCACAGTTTCTTAGTGTTAGATTCAAGTATTAGTCTAACTTAAATGTTAATGCTTGCCACTAGAACATCAACCACAGACCTCTAAATTGGCAACTTTTACTGCAAATCCACCTGTTCAAAATTGTTTCCTTCTTTCCATGGCTGCCAAATTTAGATGGTTGCAGTTTTTTTTTTGAGTAGATTTCCAGGGTTGTGCGCGAGCTTCCAGCAAAATTTTGTTGCATGAAAAGCATGGATTGCCAGCTGAATTTTTTGCCAGCAATTTTCTCTGTAAAGGACCGCCAGAAAGGGGGCAAAAGACAATCTTTGAGCTTCCTTTTTAAAAATTTCAGGAAGCAGCCAAATTTCTTGGCTGCAAGACTGCAATAACAAATTATACTGATACTGGAAATGTTCAAGTTGGATCACATTGCCTTTATTGGTATAGAAGCATGATGTAACATTTCCTTGTATATTAATCTTTGCTTAAAATTTTAATAGAAAGAATTCACAAACTTGTCAATTACTGAGACTTTGTGAACTTCCAAGATGAAAAGCTCTTTTTCATGTTAGAAAATTTATTTGTAATTAATATGTACTTTGACAATTTTTTTTTATTTTCACAGCTTGATAAAGTTCAGTAGAAGATACAGAAGTGTAGTAAGAGCATGCATCTTGGATCTGGAAGAAAAGTCTGGTATGTTCATTGTTGTTTGCTGCTGAAAACAAATGTTAGCAAAGAAATAAACAATGCCTACTCTTTGATTAGTGTATATCACTCTTGGTACTCTCTGGATTTAGATGTAGTGCACTTGAAAAGAAATTCAGCTGGTCTTTTTTGTTGTGTTACCAGGTTCAGTTTGACGGTAACTGCTTTTTGACTAGCTTTTTGTTAACTAAGTGAACATTTTTTTATCTATTTTTGTTCAGAGTCATCATTGTGTGGATAGGAGGTTAGGGTTTTTCCCAATGAAAACTCTCTATTACTTATGCTCGCTCTAGTGTATGTGAAAGTCAATTAAACAATCTTCACTTTATTTTTAAGATGCTAATGAACCTCTGGGTGATTTAAGATTCAAAGTTCCTCCATCTGCTTCACAAGTATGTGCATACCTGTAGTGTTACAATGTACTTTTAAATACGGTTAGTTTGGTTTCATTTGCATCACGTAAATATTGTACAAGTATATCAAACTATAGAGACAGCATTTCATTACATTTCCTCAAGCAGAGAGATAAGACTGAAGACTCTATGCACTTTAAATCAAAATGAAAGCAAAGAAGCTGTGGGAGAAATTGAATCATAAGAGTCTATGCTGATTCAGATCATGTTATCAAACCATAAACAATAATTATGGTGTTTCCTTTGAAACAACTTGGTTTATGACAACCTTTTAGCATTCCCTAACCTTACTATTCATTTTGTTTGTGTTTTGTCAGTAAGTAGTTGGATTGTCTTTTTTGCTTTCCAGAAGCAACTGTTAACACTTATAGAGACTGTCTGGCATCTGTGTGAGATACTTTTTATTGAAACGTTGCCAGGTAAGAGAAGACCTGTAGCTGTAAAACAGAATGTAAGGATTAAGTGGTGACTGAAGTAAAGGCCTGGAAGGGTCTCTCCCTTTCAAGTGCATTATGTTTGCTTGCAAAAGAACTGTAGAACAAGCTACAAGAAAGAGACTTGACACGTTTTGCATTATGCAACAGTTTTGTGAAAACTGTTGCATAATGAAACAGCTTCAAGCTAAGTCAAGATGTGTGTGGGGAGCAGCTGTCTGTGGAGTACATGAAAATTCAACTTTATTTAAAACTAGTCTCTAAAACAGATTGAAAGTGAATTACCCAAGTTCAACACCTGAAGATTTACATTTCATCATGCTGATACTGAATTATGATTTGAGACTATTGGTTTTTCATTAACTCATTGCTTAGAAAAACACTTCTTCCCAATTTTTGCCACACTATCTTTGACACTATGACATGAATGCAAGACTATGCACTCTTGTCTCAGAATCAAATGTTGTAGCCTAGGGAGAAAACAAACAAATAAAATAGCATCCAAAGATTTGCATGATTACAAAAGAACAAAATTGCTTTTGGATGAGTGGAGTTGTGTTGTTGTCAAAATTGCTCCCTATGATGAGAGAAGTATTGCATCCTCCAGTCTGAATTGCAGTCAAGAACAAACCTTTGATGAGTGTGAAGAGTAATGGAGAACAGTGCAAAGAGAATTTTCCAATTTCTGCAAAGATTATGTTGGAGTAACCCCAAGAATGAATAAAAAGGGTGTTAAATCAGCCCACGAGTTACCCAACAAATAGATATTATGTTCCTTCAATTAAACACTGGAACATGCTTGTCCAATGGACAAATGAAAGGGAAAAACAATTTGCCCCATCTTTCTTTGAACCAAGGCATAGCTAATGTCGCGAAACTAGAAGTTAAGAATAAACAGTTCTGAGTCCTGAGTTTTGATCTGTTGCATTGATTTCATACTGTACAACTGTTGTTAATAGCGTGACAAATATTTGGAAATTCTCCTTCAGGAGGGGCTGTTTTGCATTATTTGTTGGAATGGGTTCAAAATGGACATGCAGAGAGGTATATTAAAGAGGTACTACAGCATCTGCAGCCTTATAATAGCCCTTCATACTGGCCAGCTGTAAGTAATGTGTTTTCTCTTTTAACCAGGGTAATGCTCATTCATTTAAATTGCATTTGTTGCTGGGATTTTACAAATAAGGCCTTCTGCTTTCCCCTCAGATCTACTGTTTGGTTCTCCAAGGTCGTGTTAATGATGTGCGTGAACTGCTTGCTCAGCATCCTGACAGACAAGCAGGAAAATATGATGTTAGTATATTTGTCCATACATTGAAGAAATCTTACCTCTCTTGTTTCCAAGGACATAGAGTCTGAGAAGGAAATATAATCTTGGTCTTGGATGATTAGAAAGGCTTTTTGTTACCAACCAGAAATAAAAATAGAGACTTTTTGACAGTTAGTCATAGTGTTACTTGATATTTACCCTTGTGAATGTTGTATAAATACATTTAGATAAAAAAAAAAGATGGTGAACTTTGGGCTTGGTGATGGAATAAATTAGAAAAGATATTATTTATTTGTCATAGGTGATGAATAATTAAAAAAAAATCTGAATTTCCCACAAGGATATGAACCTTACAGTTGTGTGTTTTTCTGGTTCAATTCTTTACCACTGAGCCACAGAGAACTTGATGATAGCTGAGGCTGTGTATGAAGTTCATATTCCAAGTGCATCATACAATCACTCTCTCATTTACTTACTCCAGTTTTGGACTTGCATGAAATGTGGTGCGTTGTTGTCATTTCTTTGCAATGACTCATTCAGGCCATTAATCAATTAGTAAATCAATCAATCACTGCATGTAAGGCCATCAATCAATTAATCTGACAGTAAGGAAATTAGGAAATTAACTATAATTTAATTAATAATTATTGATTGGCTTTGTTGTTATGAGTTGGGTGTGTACAGTTCTGCACATTATACATTTTTTGCTTTTTTCCAGGCGTTTGCAAGCATGGATGAACTTCTTCATAAAATGCCCATGTATCAGGTATGTAAATGCAACATATACACTATTAAGTGATAACTGAGTGTAAATTTCTTGCCATCAATTTACTAGAAATCAAAGAACACTCAGGAACTCTGTACATCAGTCATGTTTGGTTTGTGGCGCACAAACTTTCCTTGTGTTCTACTAACATTGCTTTTGAGTTATTACAGTCACTGTGGTAAACTGATTGGAAATGCAGACTATTACTCAACTAGACATGGTTTGATGCTACTCTGGTTTACAGATTTAATGAATGTAACCAAAGAAGTTACAATTCATAGACCCAATGTTTCGACACTCCTGTCTAGTGCCTTCATCAGGGGTGATCTAAACGCTGCAACAAGAGGTCCTTAAATCTGTAAACCAGAGTAGCATCAAACCATGTCTGATTGTCCACCTAGTTGCCATGTGAACTTTAATATATTACTCAACCCTTTACACCCTAACATCAGTATGCATATTCTCCATACTGTTCTTTATACATTTTTTAAGGTGCTAACAAGGAGAATTTGTTTAACAATCAAGACCTTCTTGAATTGGTGATCATGGCCTTTATTCTTGGGAACTTAATGTATCATTTGAGGGTGATATTGTGAGGAGGAATGAGTCACTCTAGGGTGTCAAAGGGGTTGAGTACTAGGTGATATCATCACCTATTAAGTGTTATAAGGTAGAGGATGTATATTTTAACAACATTCTAACAATGGGCTCTATTGTATCTGATCCCCTATTGCTCTTTGTTCATTGCATGTCACATCTGTTTCTGTTATTCTTCCCTAGTTGTACATGGGACAGAGCTTAGCAGAGTTCACCATGAAATGGAGTCACTGGCAGCAAGAGTGTAAACATTGTCTAGATAATGAAACATATGCTGGAAATGAACACTTGCAAAAAATTTGTCAGGTAGGGGGTACTAGTAGGAGGAAGGTTCACTTCCCTGTGATTGTAATAAGGTAGACAATGGCAACAAGCAAAGATGACACAGGGGGTAGGATATACACTGGAATGCTTTGACTCTTCTACCTCCCAAGGTCTCTTTAGTTATACTCTTTACTATTCTTATGATGTTAGTTTGGAGAATTTTGTGATGGATCAACTAATCATCGGTTTATTTATTTGTTTCTTTATTCTCTTTTCTTTTCTTTGTGATTTTGTATTGATACTGTAAGGAGAAATTCTCTCTTGGTCTCATGGAAGCTAAAGGTTTAAAATGTAACGTTGGAAAACTTATTATGATGGAGGCTTATTTACATTTAGACAATTTTGTAGTATGATTGTGCAGGTGAGTTCTGAAAAAATTTTATGGCTGTGCTGGTGTGGGTTTGTTTTTAAGAAGAAGTGATTGATGCTTCAACAACCTGAGAGAAAGTCTTTATCAGAGTTTTCATTTACTGAGATTAACTAAAATAGTACCAGCCCATGCAGCCCAAAATCTGTTGCTTTAGTATACAAGTGTTCTTCCGTGACTGTTTACCTCCAAAAAAAAAAATATTTACTTACTACCATGGCTCAGTTGATTTCAGTGAATGACAGCTATGCCACTGACACCAGGCACAAAATGTTTGATTTCTGTTTTGTCTTGTATCTTTTCAGATACTTTGTGGCGAAGAACAAATATTTGATGAAATGATGTAAGTTACAAGTGCAGGAACAGATTTAACTTTTCAGTTTTTTTTCAAGTTTGCCTTCATCACTGTTGTAACATGAAATGTAAAGATGTACAAATTAAGAAGATTCTACATTCAGGGTGTGAATATGTGGGGATTGTCTTGATGTAACTTCAAATTTTCACAAACATGCAGCCAGCAGCGAATGTGTGATTTCAAGTAAGAAAATTAGGTTTCAAATCCTAGAATAAAGGGTTTAGGAGTAATAAATTATGGAACTGATTTTTTAAAATCCAAGAAAATCTACAGCCTGCAAGATTTTCATGCCATACAACAATATCGAAAGCCTACCCTTCTCCCAAACGCTTCCACGCACAAACCATTGCATCCGTAATCTTACAATCACGCTGAGTATTTTTTCTTGCTTTTGTTTGGTTCTAGAGAATACTGCAAGAACTGGTACGAACTTCTTGTAGCCAAACTGTTGTACTGTAATCCAGCAGTCAAGTCTTATGACTTACAGTACCACACACAGGTAAACTACAGTGCTTAGTTGTTCGAAGGTGCGGACAACGCTGTCCACCGGATAAATCGTTATCCCCCTTGCGAAAAACTAATAGAAAAAAACTGATATAAAACTGATAGCTAAGCTACAGCAAGAACGTACATGATCTTTGTTTTCACCTTTGGCAAATAAAAGGTTTTATCTTGATCCGTTTCAGGCCTGCATCGACATGTTTGGAGGTAGTGGAAGTTTGCGCAGTTTAGACAGAATTCTGCTCTCAGCTTTTGAATTTGATGTCTACGCTGTGATCAAGGAAAGCAGGTATTTTTCACAGATCCACTGTTTACTTTGGTTGTGAAAGAGTGTGCCTTTCTCAATGGCAGTTATCTAATCCAGCACTGCTCTTTCTGGATAAGATTTCAGGGGTTTCATATACCTTTTTCCTCAAGAGTAATGGGCGGCTGTAGCTGGAAAAATGACTGTGAGGCGAAACACAAACACGAGCCTGCTCGCAGGCTAAACAGACGGCAGTAGACCTGTGTTTTTGCTGGCTGACAGTTTTTTTCGGCTCTGAAGATGTAACAAGCTAATTTTTAACGCCGATTTTAATGTCGAGTTTTACTCCATGTTGTACGAGACAAATTTTAACACGACTTTGTGGAGGTAACGATCGTTACGATATAGACGATAAGTTAAAAAAAAAAAAATCCAATTAACGTTGTTATTGGTTGTCGAATCTTTCAGCGAGGCTCTTGGAAACTGGTGGTTTGTTGCCCATCTGACTGACTTACTTCATCATTGTGGACAGTTGGATTCGCCTCCCATCAGGTTTGAAGAGACATTTGTAATTTCCTCACGAAAGGTAGTGTATAACCACAGACGGCCCAAGCTCCAGCTGTGAGATAATAATCTAGCGAAAGAAGAGCCATGGCGAAATTATGAGAGTTTGGACAGGAATATTACGAGCGCTCCCAGGAGTAGCAAATACAGTCAAATTCTCAATAAAAATACCTCATTTTACTTCCACAGTGTATCGCTTGTTGTCTAACCGCTTACTATGTTGAACTTGGCACTCGTGGTTTTAAACAATTTACTGATGTGTTCCCGGCGAGAAATGTGTACGCGGGCCGTGAGAAACGTCTAAACTGGAAATTTTTGAAGCAAACTGTGGCTCGGCGTCGGTTCCACGGGGAAGATCGGGTTTGTAATGAAACTACAGTATATGTGCTGGGATTCTGCGTTAGATTTGTGGTCGTCCGGTCATTTTGAGCTTGGATTTTTTCCTTTCGGATCGGGCGTTCGGAAATGGAGTGTGCAGCCCTGGGCTTCTCTTATGTAGTAAACCTAGAGATGGATGACTCACTAAAATAGGTTCTTTTCAACATAGTAAGCGGTCAGACAACAAGCGATGCACTGTAGAAGTACGGTGAGGTATTTTTATTGAGAATTTGACTGTATTTTTTTTATTCTTAAGAGCGGTCGTAAATATTCTCATACAAACCTTTATAATTTCGCCAGATGATTATCTCACAGCCGGAGCTTGGGCTGCCTGTGGTATAACAAGTCACATTAAGCCTGTGGGTAATTGTGAAGTGCCGAAAGCTTCCAGAAACAGAGAGAAGGATTTGACAGGGGTTTGAACTCAACTGAGTTACCAAACTAAAGGTTTGAATGACGGGCAAATTTAAATGAGTTCACTTCACCGAAACGTAGCTTTCAAGTTTAATCTAATCCTTGTGTTGTACATTTGAAAAGTTTGGGGATAAGAAGATCTGCGCACAAGTTGCAGATAATACGCGCGATTTTGATTTTTACTTCATTGTATGACGTATAGTCAGACAGAGGTGGAACTCCCTGATTACATGGAGTGTTCAACATAATTCAAAATGGTGTCCGTAGACTAAAATTATCGAGGTTGCTTTTCCTTCCTTTTGCTCCATCCTTGATCAAAAAACAACATTTTAGACCTCACAGACGAAGAGGAAATGCGTGAAAGAATACTCAACTAGAAAGAAAGGGGGCCTCAAAGTCCTAAAGTCGACGATGACAACAGTCCCATCGATATGGAACTATATTGTCGCGGCGCGTAAGCGATTTTAATTCTTGTCTTCAAGTTGATTTTCGCTTATCTGTTGGGCTGTCGTTTGGCCATATTTAGCAGCTGATTACCATGTTTCAAGGTTTTACAGATTTCGTTGGATTTGAGCTTTCTTTTAGTCACATATTTACTTTGTGAGCCATTTTGCTCCTAGTTTCGTTTGTAATGATATACATGAAAAAAATACGCGCTTCTGATTGGCTGAAATCAAGTGCATTTTTCATGTAACACAGGTACAAAGTTATGTCACGAGTGCAAAGTTGTAACACGAGTGCAAATTACAAATGGCGCGTGTGCAGCCAAAATTTCGTCCGTCTTGACTTTCTGTGATGCGTTTTTCATATCTTTTAGTAACAAATAACAACATAATTTTTCGTGGTTTTTGTTTTTTGATTTACTCTTGCTCATTACCACCAAAGTGCTCTCGAATTCATGTTGTTACCTGTGCTAATTAGTCAGAATTTAACGCGCGTTGAAACTGTATCATTTTCTTGGGCGCAGATTGAATTTTCAGCTTTATTCGGCAATCACTCTCCGACATTTTTTTTTGCGCTTTAGCCCTCAATTTATCTGAATTCAATCAGTAAACGTTGTCTTGAAACTTCTTTTTGTGTCTGTTGTTATTAAGCATAATTATAGCTTTATCAACTGGTCATTTGAGGGTACTTCACGCAAAATTCAAGGGAGGTGGCAAATGGTCAAAATTCTCACCAATTAACTGAATAACTGAGACATACATGAGGTCGCTCTAAGGAGCCCTTGATTAATTTTACTCGGCCCCATGCGATTACCTGTACTAATTTCTTCAAATATTTCTGGAAATTTTTCAGCCACAGTATCAGTCTGAGAGAGTTCCTACTCCTAGAGTATTCCGCCAGCCTCATGTCGCATCACAGGTGAGACACGAATTAAATTTGACCTCTAAGAGGATAAAAAGAACTCTCCTGGTTTTGCTGGAGAAATTTTTATGTTTTCAAGTACTGTGCAAAATGAGTTGTTCACCAGTCATAGGGGTTTCAATAACTTATTCCATAAGTGGCTGCCAGTGGTGTATTAGGAGGCTGTCTCCGAAAAAAAGGAGCTGTTAGGCGAAGCCCAAACTCGAGGACCTGTTCGTAGGCTTAGCAGATGGTGTTAGGAGATCTTATAGACGGCGATAGACCGCCGGTTACCGGGTTTGAAACCCTTCACTATCCAATTTTCTAATCGGCACGTTCAAAATACATTTTGTTTGACATTTAACATCAGTATGCATTTTCTCCGCACTTCTCTCTTGGCATTTCCTGTGGTATTAACAAGGAGAAATCTTTAAACGATCAAGAGCCCCTCTAGGTAGTCATCATATTCTTTGTTCTCTTGGGCTTAATTTGATTCAGAGGTTATATTGTAAAGAAAAATTAGATGCTAGTCACTCTGTTAAAGATTTAGCCATGGGTTGTTTTCCATAAGCAGCATGGTAGCCCCCAACGTGCAATTTTTAACGAACTAAGTACAAGAATATCGATGCTTTGTGTGAAGTCAAAACTCTAAATTATTGTCTTTTTTGAAGCCTTTGGAGAGTTGCAGTGGACTACCTTCTGCAGTGTCCGGTTTACGGAAGGTGAGCTTCTTAATCAGATTTATTTTCGTTTGGTTTTCGTAAAGTGCTCCAGATAATTTTCGTTGCCTTGTAATTCATTTAAAACACACTTATTCAATTTGGAAAGAAATAGATTTCATTTGACCTGCGGATTAAAATCAAATTAACCCTTTAACTCCCAAGATCTCATTAGTAATTCTCCTTACCGTCTGCCATACAGTCCATGTCATGTTAGTTCAGAGAATTTGGTAGTGGATCAACTAATAATCCCTTGACAGATATTTTTCTTTGTTCTCATTACTTGCATACTTGATATTGTATTTATATTGCAAGGAGAAATTCTGTCTTGGTCACTCGTGGGAGTTAAAGGGTTAAGCAGTGATCCTCGCAAGAGAGCTGCAGTTTAGCAATTGTAGAAAAGGAGTCTGGGGAAATTCCGGCTTCGACGCGATTCGAGCCCAGGCCTCCCAGATACTAGTTGGGTGCAAAGACAAACTGAGCTGAGCTTAACTATAAGCTGGATTTTGTTACGCTAAGACAAAAGTATCCATTCTTAAGCTAGATCGAAAGCACTTTACTAACCCCTATTATTATCATTATCTTTATTACTATTTCGATTATTACTGTTGTAGGGCACACCTTGAAGAGTACATTGAGCATCTACCTCTTGAGACAGACAAGAAAGCCATGAAAGTGCTCAGGCTGTGCGAAGACTTGGAAATGCTTGCGCAAGGTATGAAACGTTAGCTAGGCTATGAAAAAAGTTTCGTCGTAATGACGGGGAAATTCATCGTGAGATATTTTTTTTATTATTTTTGTTTAATTTTGTCACGGAGGGTTCTTATGAGAAACTTTATACTCCTAACCGGGGAGTAGAGACTGTCAGAGAGAGGTCTTATGAGAAACTTTATGCTATTTATGAGGAAGTCTTATGGGAAACTTCACGCTATATAACTTAACACTATGTCAAAAATAACGCTACAATATTGCAGAAGATGAGAGCAAATTAAATGACGTCGGTAGTGGCAAAACTATTGCGAAACATTCTCAAAACTACGCATCAACCAAGATAGAACGGTTCTCAAAATGGACAGTCCGTGAAGAAAACGGCAATTTACTTAATGGACGTAATGCTCAATAACAACGCTACCATATAGATGAGGGAGAGGTTACACAAATAAACTACAACTCAACTCGCGCAGTTAGCAAATAAAACACTGCTAAGCAGGCTAGGCCACGTCTACTCATCTTCTCTGCATACGGGTAAGAGCGTTATTAATTTTAATCAATCATTAATTTAATTGATTTTAAGTGCTGTTAATTTTTAATCAACCTTGGGCCTAAATCACTAGAATAAGGGAAAAATTAACTCTCGCGGTGAGCACGATATAATATTACAGAACACCAAATTAGACGTTTGGTTATCAGAGCACAGATTAGAACTACTGTTAAACACAGAGTGAAAAACAAATTGAAAAACAACCTTGAAATAATGACAGGGCGTTGATCGGCCTCACTGAAATTAGCCGTTTAGTTAAGTTGGCGGAAATAGGAACTCTTGCTAAACACTCTGGAAAGGGAAAAAAACAAAACAACGTTGAAAATAAGATCTGGATGTTGGTCAGAGTAATTAAGAACGAAGTGAATAACGTAGTCACCACATTAGAACATTGAAAAACACTCGCAAATTAGACATTTCGCCACGAGAAGAGTAATTAGAACTGTGGTTCAACCCAATGTAAATTGAAAAACAACTTTTAACTAATGACTGGGCGTAGATCAGAGTGATAGAAAAAAAAGTTATTTACGTAGTTAACATAACAGAAAATTGCAAAAAAACTCGCAAGTTAGTAGTTACTGTACGAGAACAGTATGTAGAACTATGGTTCAACACATAGTAAATTGGAAAACAACCTTCAAATTAGGACTGGGCCGAGGTCACCCCAAGAAACGATGACATAGTGAGCACCATAGACCACACTGTTAAAAATTCTCAAATGAAGCGTTCGTTCAACATTTTAATGCCTACGAGTGACAAGGTTCTAATTCTCACAATCTAACCCCTGAATCAAATGTTTAAGTTAAGAGAATTAAAAGAAATGATCATAAACCAACGAGGCTCTTGATGGGTTTTCAAATTCTCCTTGTTATAACCTAGGAAATGTATAAAGAACAGTATGGAGAATGTGTCTAATGATGTTAGAGTGGAAATGGGAACTCTTGATAAAGACGTTGGCAATGGAAAAAAAAACTTTCAAAAAAATAAAAGTGGGCGTAGGTCAGATTAATTCGTTGTAATTAAGTACAAATTAGAGACAGATGTAGGTAGCACAACAAAACATTGCGAAACATCACAAATTGGTTGCTTGGTGCTAGAACAGTTATTGGAATTAGGACTCGATAATCGCCGTGGAAATGAAAAACACGACTTTGAAACAGACTGAGCGTAGGACAAAGTAATTAAGTACAAATTAAATGACGCAGTTAGCACAACAAAACATTGTAAAACATATCGAATTAATTATTTCTGTGCTTGAGCACTTATTGGAACTGCAACAAAATTTCAGGTTGAAAAACAACCGTAAATTAAACATTGGCCGCCGGTCAGAGAAATGTGAAAACGAGTTAAATGACGCAGTTGGCACCACAAAACATTGCAAAACATTCTCAAATTTGTCGTTTCGGTTCGATAACAGTTCCTGGAACTTACGTTCGGTACTTTTTCAAGTTGAAAAACAACCTTGAAATAAAGAATGGGTGGAGGCGACGGCAATTAGTCGCAATTTAAATGACGTTATTACCACAACAGACATCTCAAATCGGTCGTATCGTTACGAGGGCAGTAATTAGAACTCTTGATAAACAGGGTTCAAATAAAGAAAAAATTTGAATTAATGATTGGGCGTTGGTCACGGTAATTAATTGCGAGGTAACAACATTGCAAAACATTCTTAAATTAGTCGTTTCGGTACGAGAACAGTTCCTGGAACTTACGGTCGGTACTTTTTCAAATTGAAAAACAACCTTGAAATAAAGAATGGGTGGAGGCGACAGCAATTAGTCGCAATTTAAATGACGCTGTTACCACAACAGACATCTCAAATCGGTCGTATCGTTACGAGGGCAGTAATTAGAACTCTTGACAAACAGGGTTCAAATAAAGAAAAAATTTGAATTAATGATTGGGCGTTGGTCGCGGTAGTTAATTGCAAAGTAACAACATTGCAAAACATTCTTAAATTAAATGTTTGGTTCCGAAAGCTGTATTAAGAAGTCGTGATAAACACAGTTTGAATAAAAAAAGTAAAGAAATAAAGTAAAGATTTGACCTCCTCGCAGTGTTTTATTACAAGTTCTCTTACGCAGCCAGCAGAATGGAACATGGCAGAACATTTTAAATTTTATTCTTTTGGCTACAAAAATTGTAATTAGAAATCTTGATAAACACGGTTTGAATAATAAAAAAAAATGAGAGGAAGATTGGTCTTAGGTCGCAGTAATTTATTACAAATTGACTTAACAGCCAGCAGAATAGAACATCACCAAACGAACTCAAAATAATTGTTTGGTTATGAAAGCTGTTATTAAAAATCTGAATCAACACAATAAAAGATTAGAAAAAACCTTGAAATAAAGATTTGACGGAGGTTACAGTAATGAAGAATAAATAAAATTACGCAGTTAGCTCAACGGCACTGAAAAAACTCAAATCAAACGTTTGACTGCAAGAGTGGTATGAACAAGTTGGAAACTTGGAAAACAACACGGCAATAATTATGCGCGGAAGGTCTCTTTAATCAGAAGTATATCGAAGGGATATTAACTGAAAATGAAATAACGCATTTGACACAGCAAACTCACAAAACGCTCTCAAAATGGGTGATCGGCGAATACTGAAATAGCTTTATAAAGGTTGATGAAGAAATAAAATTTAGTGGAGATCACACAATGAAAAAATTATAAAAATACTTTAGGCAGAGGTTACAGTAATTAGCTACAAAGAATTCGTTGCAGGCAGTGTATTACATTTACAAAACGGAAATTTGGTGAAGATTAGAAATCATTGTATTTATCGTTCATTTTTTTTGATACTTGAAACAGTTGTCAAAGAGGAGAGCTTTGAATACGCACGCTTTGCAGCTTGCGCACGGGACGATCGCGCGAGACAGCTTATACGCGCGTGAGCATCAGGTTCCGCACAAATAAGCATCAGGCTGTGCGGCACGTGAGGTAGGATGTAATCCAAAACGGCGGAAGGATCGTAATTTGAATCGAGCTCTTCTGAAATTTATATCCCATCTAAGGGAATGATAGAAAGATTAGAAACATGGATAAAATCTACAGTCAGTGATGCCTAGAGTAATTGGTAACAAAGGGACGTTCAATGCATTCCCAAAACGTGCAGTTTTTGAGGATAAAAGGAAGTAGAAGGGAATTGTAACAGCGGGCGAAGATAACACTTAGTCCCACAAGGTGAATAAGGTAACACGAAGGAAATTTTGAAAGCGCTCGTTTCATTTTCAAAGTATTTTACATGCTTTGGCGCGAATTAAGTTATCGAATTGTTACTTTCTAGTCACCTTTAACTCCGAAAGCTTGATTTTAGGATTTAGATTACTGTTACTCTTCATGGCTGTGATTATACCTTCTCTTATGACCTAAACATGGTTAAAGCTGTTTTGTTGAACTTCTTAGGAGCTTTTTAAAGTTCCAATTTGGCTCTTTGAAAGTACAAGTTTACGATTACTTGACTTACGGAAATTCAGTTTTTCACTATTCTGTGGCTGATTTTCATTCAGGTAAACCTGGTTAAACTAAACTTGCTTTGCTGGTGTGAATGGGATATAAGACTACTTTCTCGAGTGCATTAGTTTTGTAGTCGAGTGTTGAGGCTATACGAGGTCTAAGTACAAATAATTAGTTTTATTGACGAATTTTCTAGGTTGTAGAGAAGTGTTGACTGCAGTACAGCCATATTTTTAGCGAGCGAGCGCTCAGTCCAAAATCCATCGTGTTGAAATTGTAAAGCAGAGGAAAATGCCAAATGTCTCTTGAGAGGGTGAATGATAGGCAAGAGAAAAGCAGAGGGAGGGATTAGGAGCCGCCCTCGTTGTTTTTCCCGCTTTTCTAACAGCTCGCAGCTGTAAGTTTGCGTTTTCAGTGGCTCCTTTAGATAATTTTATTTGTTCTAAGTGCCTTTTGCGATAAATTGGTTTTAGTTGCCCAACGACATTCGAAAAGATGCAATTATATGCGGTAGGCTGGGATTTGACATTACGGATACAAAATAAAGTCATGACATCGTCGCCAAAAGGCTAAACTCGAAGTTAAAACTGTAGCTTTAGTTTCAGTGGAAGGGCTAGTTTTTGCTGCCTCGTACGATTTCGCAAACATCTACAAAAAGCATATTTGAACGACCATCGTTGGTCTTTTGGCGAAGGAAGTTCTTCTTGATTTAGAACTTGTGTTTAATCGATGTTTCCCGATACAACTTCGTGGTTACTTGTCACATTACATTTTTCGGGAAACAACCTAAACTTTACGACATAATCTTACCCTCTAAACAGACTCCACATGGAGTATAATGCTACTGTTGGTCAATTTTCTACGTAATCTCGCGTACTTTGACTTTTACTTATATGATCCTTTTCTCCTAGTTCAATGTATTTTTTTCTTTTTCGGAGAACGGAAACCGAAAGATATCTTTGGTTAAGGTCTATATTTTAAAACTTC